AGCCACAAGCTTTCTCTAGTGAAGCCGGGCACCCCCAGCCTTGTGCTAAGCTGGGCTGGCTTAGTCCTGACACGGCATGGGAGAGCCCAGCATGTCCAGGCAGTGCATGGGGCTTGGGGCATGCCGTGTTGCCCATGCTTGCAGTCATTCTAGTTCCCAGCCACTCTTCGCCAGAGCAGGGTGACAGTATCACTTCCTGTCCTATGGCCTTGTGTAATGTTGCTGTGGCCATTAAGTAGCTGCCATGCTTCCCTCCAGACCTGGCTGCACGAGGCCAGGTAAGCCGATCTCGCGGGCTGTTAAGGGTGCTTTAGTGCTTTGGGATTCCTTAGGACAACAGGTGCTCTCTGCTAACAAGCACTGCCCAGGTCGATGGGGAAGGGACCCTGGATAGCTAACAAGTATCTAAGGCAGGAGGTTGCCTAATTTCTTTCAGTTCCTTAACCAGAGATCCCATGCCCCATCTCCTGAGGCTAGCCATTGGGTGAGTGGAGCGCCAGGACCTGCCAACAGATTTCCTCTTGCTCACTTTGAGCATCTGGGTGTAGGAAAGAACCTTTACCCCGAGCGACGCCCCCTCTTTCTAGCCAGTCCCTTTCTCGAGAGCAGGGCCTGCTGGACATGCCCACCCCTCCAGTACCTGCTCCTCAGCGCCCTGGCGCTTCTCCAGCTGTTTCTGCAGCTGGCTTTGCAGCGTGCGGATGGTCCCGTCCTGCTCTGCTGTCCTCAGCTGCTGTGCTTGGCTGGCCTCCTGAAGGCTCTGCAGCACCTCACCTCTCTCTGCAGCCTGCATTGCAATGGGACAGTGTAACTCGCTGGCCTTGCTGGCATCGTACACACAGCTGGGCCAGGGGCGAGTGTGGCATGGCAGGACGGTCAGGGTGGGGGCACCTGCCAGCCTTTTCCAGGATGCCTGGCTGACTTAAAGCAGGAAGCCACTGCAGGGCTGAGGGGCAGAGGCGGAGGCTGGCTCGCACCTCCAGCCTCTGGCTTTGTAACCCCAGCCCTGCAGCCACCGGAAGGCCCTGGCAGCAACGTGCTGTGCGCTCGGCGGAGCTATTGACCACCCTTTCAGAGGCTGTTGCTCTGTGTTTCTACCTGTCCGAAAGGGTAGAAATAACAGAAACAAGTTGTTGGAAATGAAATTTCAATCCCTCCACGCCCTTCCCTGGCGGCACGGCGCCCCAGCACGGATCAATAGTCTTTAGACAGCCAAGGAGGTTTTTCTTCCCCTTAAAGCATCAGATCAATAGTGAAAAAAGCTGTCCAGCCCTCTGTGCACGTTGTAGTAAATGTGAACATCAGAGGCCTCCAGCTAAACGGATTGACTGGAGGCAGTAGCAGACCAGCACTTGGTAAGCAAGCGCCCGAGACGGGGAGGGCGTCTGCCCGAATGGGGGGGCCACGGATCTCTGCAGCTGGAGCCCCTAGCCCCTCACAGGGCTAAAGGCAGGCGCTGCTGGGCTGAAGCACTGAGCCTTGGTGCCTCTGAGGAGCTGAAGCTGGGAGCCAGGGGGCTGAATCCCTGAGTCCCCCCACAGGGCTAAAGCTGGGAGCTGTGGGGCAGAAACCCCGAGCTCTGGTGCCCATGCAGGGCTGAAGCTGGGAGCCATGGGGCTGAAGGCCTGAGACCTGAGTTCCGGTGCCACCATGGGGCTAAAGCCCTGAAACCCCTGGGCCCTGCCCCCCCCCAAATAAAAGTCAAACTACACTTATCACGAAGGGTCCCCCTCTCCCCGCTAGGCCCTGTTTTTATAGCATGTTGTGTGTGTGTGTGGGGGGGGACGCAGAAAGAAAGAGGGTGAGACCCTCTGCTCTGCACCGTCAGGCTCTGAGATGGGCTCTCTCTTTCCCCACTATCGTTGCTAGCAGAAGGCCAGGGCTGGTCACTGGAGGTAGGAAGAGGCCCTCGCTGCAGCCATTGCCACGGAGGGCAGGAGAGGTGGCAGCCGACGTGCAGGGCAGGGGAAAAGCAGCAACAAAGCTGTACCCGGCTATCGCAGCCTTAAAGTGGGTTTCTGTAGCTTGGATGGTGCATTTCCCACTGGTGCGAGCTGGGGGCCTGAGCACCTCTCAGCTGGGCCGCTGCAGGGGAGGCAGGGCTGGGCCCGCACCCCGAGATGAATGGCCAGAGGGCAGAGCAAACAGTGACGGCTCCTTGGCTCAGTCACCGTTTGGCCTCCTGAATGGGACAAGGGGGCCAGGTAGCTGCTCGTTCGCTTTGCGGGCTGAGGTGCCTGACTGCACCTGCAGTTGCATGCTCAGTAGCCTGCCCTTGTGTCTGAAAAATCTGCCCTTGTGTCTGTTTAATGCACATGAAGGTGATGGCACCAAGGGATAAACTCGTTTGGATCTGTAACTATGGGATAAATTGCATTTGTTTTGTCCCCGTCGTCCTCACTTGTACAGAACTCATGGCTCCAGCCCCAATCCGCACCTCCCAGCCACCTGCAAACAGCACCACCTGCTTTTAAACGACCCCGCTGCCAAAATGGTCCCCCCGCTCCTCACAGGAATGGATCACGGACAAGCAAGAGCTGAAACTGATACTGAATCAGTCTGGCCTGGGCCAGGGAGCGACTCCAGGGTTCAGAGCCCATCGGCTAGGCGGGGTAGAAATCCTTGGCATTTCGGGAAGATGCTATACACAGAACTTGGCCCAGATGCTCCAGCTCTGTTGAGGCTGCAGAGGGATGCTCAGGCAGCAAGCACTGGCTGGACAGCTGCTCCGGCGGGATAGCTGGCAATTTCCCCACTTTGGGGGAATCTCCGGGGTGTTATAAAACCGATCTGCCGGCTCTCCAGGGCCCTTCCACAGAGGGGTGTGTGGAGGTATGCAGGAGGGCACAGCCCGCTGGCCAGCCTTTGGCATGCAGCGTGCTCTCGCTGATCAAACACTCTGAATGGCTGTTACAAGTGGGGCCGGCTGGAAAACAAGAATCCCATTTTGCAAAAGGTGGAGGTTTAGGAGTTTGTGTTTGTGCCGCAGCAGGATGGAGTGGCCACCTCAACCTCTTAAAGCTTTTTGTGAAAAAAAACAACCACCAAGTCAGAGACATCACCAGACTTGGTACCACATGACACTGATATAAAATTAACATGGCACAAATTCCTGATTAAAACCTGGCTACCTGCTAGGTCTCAAATTGTAACTGTAGAGGAATTATCGAGTGGGTCTGTCTCCAGTGGGGTGCTGCAGGGACCAGGTCTTGGCCCCATGCTATTTAAGGTTTTTATCAATGACTTGGAAGAAAACAAAATCATCACTGATAAAGTTTGAAGATGACACAAAAATTGGGGGAGAGGTAAATCCTGTAGAACCTCAGCGTTACAGATACCTTGGGAATGGAGGTTGCTCATAACTCTGAAATGTTCCATAATTCTGAACAAGACGTTACAGACTTCAGCCACAGGGGAGTTGGGTCTGCAGCCAGAGGGTGGGGTCAGAGCTCTTTGGCGGGGTCGGGACTTCTGACCCTAGGGGCCACTGGGGCTCCGAGTGGGAGGCTCAGGGCTTCAGCCCTGGGGCTCCATTCACAGCTTCTGCGGCTCTGGGGTTACCCAAGGCTCCGCTCCCGGTTTCAGCCTGGGGGGGGGAGCACGTTGGGGCTTTAGCTACGAGGGGAGTGCTGGAGCTGAAACCGTAAAGCCCTGAGGCAGTACAGTATCTGATTGGTTTTTTTTTGGTTCCCGCTACTGCCTGATTGATTACTTCCAGTTTCACAGGTTGACCGGCAAGTCCATAACTCTGGTGTTCGTAACTTTAAGGTTCTACTGTAACGAAGAGGACAGGTCACTGATACAGAGCCAGCTGGGTCGCTTGGTAAATTAGGTGCAAGCAAATTATGCATTTTAATACAGCTAAAAGCAAAGACTGTGGGCCACACTTACAGAACGGGGGACTCTACTCTGGGAAGCAGGGACTCTGAAAACGGTTTGAGGGTCGTGGGAGGTAATCAGCTGAACATGAGTTCCCATGTGACTCTGTGGCCAGAAGGGCTAATGGGATCATTGTACGTGTAGCCGTGGGCGAGTAGGAGCAGAGAGGTTATTTTATTTCTGTATTTAGCACTGGGTCGACCACTGCTGGAATCCTGGGTCCCGTTCTGGTGCTGCCCACAGCTCAAGAAGGATCTTGAGCAGCTGGAGAGGGTTCAGAGAAGAGCCACACGAATGAGGAAGGATTAGAAAATCTGCCTTATAGTGACAGACTTCACTTCCTGCCCTTTGGGGCTGCCCTGGCAGGCTATGGCCCCCTCATTGAGGGGAAGCTGTGGGTGCCTTGGGCTGAACCCCCTCCTCCAGCAGCAATACAATTGCAGGTCCCATAGGTGACTAGACTACATGGGAGGGACAGGGACTGCATGGTGATTTGACCTTGTTATTCTTCATAACCAAGAGCTCCGGGTAAACTCGAGAGCTCGTCTCTCACCAACGGAAGTTGGTCCAATAAAAGCTCCTATCCTGGGACCGACCACTGAATAGAATGAAAGGTTCTCGTTCAGCAGAACCCTTATCTCTGCCCCGCAGTGACCCCATGCAGGCAGTTCTGATTAACGCACTTAGCGCTGCAGATCTCAGATCAGATTAAACTGATTGTTAAAGGCAGGTTCCATTTTTTCCTCCCTTTTATTTCCCTTCATGGTGTCACTGCAGGGCCAACCTCAGGGTCTGTCAGTGCCTCCCCGCACGGAGAGCCTCCCGTCGCAGTGAGGGCCCTAAGCACTGGCGGTTCAGAGACTCCAAGGCCAGCAGGGACCACTGTGGTCACCTAGTCTAACCTCCTGCACATCACAGGCCAGAGACCGGCCCCACAATAATCCCGACAGTAGATCTTCTAGAAAAGCCTCCAACCTGGATTTGAAATGAGCAGTGATGGAGAATCCACCGCAACCCTCACTAAATTGTGCCAAGGCCTCTCTGTTAAAAATGTGTGCCTTGTTTCCAGTCTGAGTGTGTCTAGCATCAACTCCCAGCCCTTGGACTGTCCTCGACCTTTGGCCGCTCGGCTGAAGAGCCTGTTATTAGATATCGGTTCCCATGCGGATACTTACAGCCTGGGATCAAGTCACCCCGTGCCCTTGTCTTGGCTAAGCGCAATTGACTCAGCTCCCTGGCAGAGGTTACAGCTGCCCTCCCCTACCCCAGCCCTGCTGCCTGCCAGCTCCAGGTTCCTCCCCGAGCACAGCAGCTTGGCGGGACGCTTGTCCCTTCTCCTGCTGCTCACCAGGAAAGGAGCAAATCCCCCCAGCCCATGGCCAGGACTGGAGGCCTCAGTTCTGCTCATGATTGCCAGTGGGAACCGTGAGAGGATTTTTACAAGCTCCCCTCTGCAGCTAACTTGGCTTTGGGAGTGGCTAGCGGGGCTTCTGATTCAGCAGCGTGCAAGGGCCACCACTAGGGTCAGTATCCACCCAGGGGCAGGGTTTGGCTTGTAGTGAGGAAAGGATTTATCTAGGGCAGGGGTCCCCAACACGGTGCCCGTGGGCACCATGGCACCCACCAGGACATCTAAGTGTACCCACGTACTGGCCGGCGGACAAACATCTGCCAAAATGCCACCGATAAGTGGCAACGTTAATAGGCGTTGCCGCCAATTTTCGGCGGCATTTCAGCGGCGACACCTATTGACGTTGCCTCTTGTCGGCAGCATTTCGGCAGATGCTCGTCCACCGTCACGGTTCTCCATGTCTCATCGTCTGGCGCCTGCCAGACCAAAAAGGTTGGGGACCACTGGTCTAGGGCCAGCAGAGCCAGCTCCAAGAGTGGATCATTGATTGGTGTGGG